TACCGGGAACACATGCTTGTTTTGTTTGTAGATGTGTGATCTACCATGGACCAATAACTGCCTCTCTTTCTTCCTAAAATCCCAAATCATGGATGAATGGCCTTTAGAAACTCATCTGTCTCCTCTGCAGCAAGCAAGAGTTTGTGCAACTTGACATCAGATCCATCTTCTCAGAACCTCCCTTGCTTCAGATTCAATAGAGGATTTCACATTTTCCATAAGCTCCTCTATGGTTGCCTGTTCCTCAGAGCTTATCCCAGGGGAAGCTGCCTGTGTAGGTACGGTCAAAGAAGTACTTGGAATATGGGGCAGAGAGGACATTTCCTGCAATAGTAACCTGAAGGACTGCAATGTGTCCATGTCCCCCTCATACTATCCATACAGCTCAGCTCTGTCCCAGCCTGAATAGGTTCCTGACCTGATGTCTGTGGATGTGGAGCCAGGCCTCCTGCTTCCCTCTGTCTCCGTCTGCTCTGGGGCATAGCAGAGACTTGCTGCACCACTACCAGCCACACAGAAGAAGTGCATGATTGGTCGCACACACACAAGCCGGCAGTGAACCCATCACCAGCCTGGTCACCATACCAGAACGCTTGCACACTTCGGCATCGTCTTTTACTCCTTTGCACCAGGAGCCGACCTTCAGATACCGGAGAACTCCTGATGCCCCGCCAAGAAGAAAAAAAGAAAAAAGGGACATACAAATATCCTGCAGGTAGGAGTGAAGGCTCACTAGAAACACCACCCAATCAGCAGAGAAGGAACCGAGGAATGAAAAGAAGAGGAAGAGAGGTCTCTAAGTTGGGAAGGTCCTAGCAGGGCATCACCCAGGTACCCCTCCTGAGTCCAGGCGGAACGTAACCTGGGAGGCCCCTAAAGGCCTAATAGGAATAAAAACCAACACAGTACTTGGTTCCTGTTAGAGGAAACACGAGGTTAGTGTGCCTGTATGTATGCAGGATGATGTGTTTCTTGTATAAGGTGGGCGGAGCCTCTCTCACAGCTGACATACGAGGCATTACATAGTGAATGTAGGTGGATTATATCTGGAGATAAGCAGATCGTTTTGTGTCACTTTAATACTTTATGACATGTTACGTGTGAACAAGGTGTGAATGAACGATATGAAAGGTGTCAGCGAATGAACAAGGTGTCAGCGAATGAACAAGGTGTCAGCGAATGAACAAGGTGTCAGCGAATGAACAAGGTGTCAGCGAATGAACAAGGTGTCAGCGAATGAATGAAAAGGTGTCAGCGAATGAACAAGGTGTCAGCGAATGAACAAGGTGTCAGCGAATGAACAAGGTGTCAGCGAATGAACAAGGTGTCAGCGAATGAACAAGGTGTCAGCGAATGAACAAGGTGTCAGCGAATGAACAAGGTGTCAGCGAATGAAAGTGTTTGTTCACCAATGCCAGAAGTCTGCCCAGCACAATAGGCGAGTTGGAAGGTTTGGTGCATGAAGAGAACTGGAACTGCACATGGGGGGCGGTACTACAAAGGTCATCATTGGAGTTTGTTATAGGCCTCCCAGTGTTAATGAGGAGGTGGAGACTCTGCTCCTCCCACAGATGGAAAGGGCTGCAAGGGCTGGGACAGTGATAATAAAGGGGGATGGTAACTACCCGGAAACTGACTTGGAGTAATGGGACTGCAGGAACAGTTAAAGGGCAACAATGTATAAACCTACTACAGGACAATTGTATGGTACAGGTCATAGAGGCCCCAACTAGGAATGATGCTCTGCTGGACATGGTCATCTCCAACCATGCAGAGCTTATTACGAAGGTCCATATAAAAGAACATCTGGGTAGCCGTGACCATAACATGATTTCATTTATTGTTGCTGTACACAGCAAGCACATACAGGAAAAATAAAATCGCTCAACTTTAAGAGAGCTAATTTTTCAAGGCTGAGATTTGCTCTCCAAGACTTAGACTGGGAGAGAATATTGTATAATACATAAGGGAGGGATATGATCTCCATGTATAATACATAAGGGGGATATGATCTCCATGTATAATACATAAGGGGGGGATATGATCTCCATGTATAATACATAAGGGGGGGATATGATCTCCATGTATAATACATAAGGGGGATATGATCTCCATGTATAATACATAAGGGGGGGGGGGTATGATCTCCATGTATAATACATAAGGGGGGGTATGATCTCCATGTATAATACATAAGGGGGGGTATGATCTCCATGTATAAAACATAAGGGGGAATATGATCTCCATGTATAATACATAAGGGGGATATGATCTCCATCTAATAATGCATAAGGGGGATATGAATCTCCATGTATAATACATAAGGGGGGATATGATCTCCATGTATAATACATAAGGGGGGATATGATCTCCATGTAAAATACATAAGGGGGGGAATATGAATCCAATGATCTCCATGTATAATACATAAGGGGGGAATATTCCATGAATAATACTCCATGTATAATACATAAGGGGGGATATGATCTCCATGTATAATACATAAGGGGGATATGATCTCCATGTATAATACATAAGGGGGATATGATTCTCCATGTATAATACATAAGGGGGGATATGATCTCCATGTATAATACATAAGGGGGGGGGGATATGATCTCCATGTATAATACATAAGGGGGGATATGATCTCCATGTATAATACATAGGGGGGGATATGATCTCCATGTATAATACATAAGGGGGATATGATCTCCATGTATAATACATAAGGGGGGGGGGATATGATCTCCATGTAAAAATAATAATACATAGGGGGGGGGGGGGGATATGATCTCCATGTATAATACATAAAGGGGGGGGATATGATCTCCATGTATAAGACATAAGAGGGGATATGATCTCCATGTATAATACATAAGGGGGGATATGATCTCCATGTATAATACATAAGGGGGGATATGATCTCCATGTATAATACATAAGGGGGGGGATATGATCTCCATGTATAATACATAAAGGGGGGATATGATCTCCATGTATAATACATAAGGGGGGATATGATCTCCATGTATAATACATAAGGGGGGGGATATGAATCTCCATGTATAATACATAAGGGGGGGATATGATCTCCATGTATAATACATAAGGGGGGATATGATCTCCATGTAAAAATACATAAGGGGGGGATATGATCTCCATGTATAATACATAAGGGGGGGGTATAATCTCCATGTAAATAAGGGGGGGATATGATCTCCATGTATAATACATAAGGGGGGGATATGATCTCCATGTATAATACATAAGGGGGATATGATCTCCATGTATAATACATAAGGGGGGATATGATCTCCATGTATAATACATAAGGGGGGGATATGATCTCCATGTATAATACATAAGGGGGATATGATCTCCATGTATAATACATAAGGGGGGATAAAAATCATCCATGTATAAACAACATAAGGGGGGATATGATTTCCATGTATATAATACATAAGGGGGATATGATCTCCATGTATAATACATAAGGGGGGGGATATGATCTCCATGTAATAATACATAAAGGGGGGGATATGATCTCCATGTATAATACATAAGGGGGGGGATATGATCACCATGTATAATACATAAGGGGGATATGATCTCCATGTATAAATACATAAGGGGGGGGATATGATCTCCATGTATGATACATAAAAAGGGGGATATGATCTCCATGTATAATACATAAGGGGGGATATGATCTCCATGTATAATACATAAGGGGGGATATGATCTCCATGTAGAATACATAAGGGGGATATGATCTCCATGTCCATAAGGTGGTAGAATGGGGGGGGGGGGGGTATGACCTGCATGTATAATACATAAGGGGGGATATGATCACCATGTATAATACATAAGGGGGGGTTATGACCTCCATGTATAATACAAAAGGGGGGTATGACCTCCATGTATAATACATAAGGGGGGGGATATGACCTCCATGTATAATACATAAGGGGGGGATATGAACATCTCCATATATAATACATAAGGGGGGAAATGATCTCCATGTATAATACATAAGGGGGGATATGATCTCCATGTATAATACATAAGGGGGGATATGATCTCCATGTATAATACATAAGGGGGATATGATCTCCATGTATAAATACATAAGGGGGGGATATGAATCTCCATGTATAATACATAAGGGGGGGATATGATCTCCATGTATAATACATAAGGGGGGGATATGATCTCCATGTATAAATACATAAGGGGGATATGATCTCCATGTAAATAATACATAAGGGGGGGATATGATCTCCATGTATAATACATAAGGGGGGGATATGATCTCCATATATAATACATAAGGGGGGATATGATCTCCATGTATAATACATAAGGGGGGGATATGATCTCCATGTTTAATACATAAGGGGGGATATGATCTCCATGTATAATACCTGTGCAAGACCAAAGGGGAGGAGCCGGTGCAAAACCTGTGCAAGACCAAAGGGGAGGAGCCGGTGCACCTGTGCAAGACCAAAGGGGAGGAGCCGGTGCACCTGTGCAAGACCAAAGGGGAGGAGCCGGTGCACCTGTGCAAGACCAAAGGGGAGGAGCCGGTGCACCTGTGCAAGACCAAAGGGGAGGAGCCGGTGCACCTGTGCAAGACCAAAGGGGAGGAGCCGGTGCACCTGTGCAAGACCAAAGGGGAGGAGCCGGGGAGAGGATTTAAATGTAAGGCTTTATTCGCCCTGCACATGTGCGGTGGTGTGCAGGAAATCTCTCACCCTAACAACAGACATTGTGTGAACAAGCCCTAAAAGTGGTGTCATCAGTGTGACTGAGCTGGGTAAATCTCAGGACTGGATGGTCAGAAATATACATTGATCTGCAGTATAACAGCTCCCATGTATGTCCTGAAATGTTTCCTGGAGTTCAGCTTGATATCTATATAGGAGAGTGTCTGTGAACCGATGAGAAGGTCCAAGGACAATCCATGTCATCTCGGGTTGTAGGGAACCACTTACCTTGGTGTCAGCGGTGTGGATGAATCTCAGAGATGGCGCCCTGCAGTGCGTCAGGCAGGAACGAAGGCCTAATAGGAGCATTTCTGACCTATAAAACATACAAAATGTGTTATTATTAGGTCAGGATTCCTCGCGGTGACAGCACACTGGAGAGGCGGACCGCTGCAATCACCCCGAGGAGAGAGGTGCGGAATCCAGCGACACGCTTCCCGCACACAGCTCCCAGAACTGAACGATCGCAGCCCGGGCAATACAGGACTATAATCCCATCCCCCACCTCTGGCTTCCAAAGCCACTCCCCTCCTCCCCGGGTACACTCCCCCCCCCCCCCCCCAGGTACACCTCCTCCCCGGGTACCTCCCCCCCCCCCCCTCCCCAGGTACACTCCCCCCCTCCCCAGGTACACTCCCCCCCCTCCCCAGGTACACTCCCCCCCTCCCCAGGTACACTCCCCCATCACTACACACAGAATGGTGTTACAATCCTGACACACACCGGAAGGCTCAAAGGACACAGGTGAGTGTGGGATGACCCTAAGACTTCCCCCTGTATAAATCTGCCTCCTAAAATATCCTCTGGAACTCCCCACCCCAATCTGTCCAGAGCCTCTCCCGTCCTCTTGAACTCCCTGCCCCAATCTGTCCAGAGCCGCTCCCAGCCTCTGGAACTCCTCGCCCCAATCTGTCCAGAGAATCTCCCATCCTCTCCCCTCAACAATCTGTCCAGAGCCTCTCCCATCCTCTGGAACTCCCCACCCCAATCTGTCCAGAGCCTCTCCCATCCTCTGGAACTCCCCGCCCCAATCTGTCCAGAGCCGCTCCCGTCTTCTCCCCGCCCCAATCTGTCCAGAGCCTCTCCCTGGAACTCCTCTGGAACTCCCCGCCCCAATCTGTCCAGAGCCTCTCCTGTCCTCTGGAACTCCCCGCCCCAATCTGTCCAGAGCCTCTCCTGTCCTCTGGAACTCCCCGCCCCAATCTGTCCAGAGCCTCTCCCATCCTCTCCCCACCCCCAATCTGTCCAGATCCTCTCCCGTCCTCTGGAACGCCCCACCCCAATCTGTCCACAGCCTCTCTCATCCTCCGGAACTCCCCACCCCAATCTGTCCATCGATCTCCTACTCTGTCACCAAATAAACTGAATTTGACTTTTTCCATCATGCCATCCCACACATTTCTTCTCTCACTCACCGTTCCCTTCAGTACTCTCCCACAGGCTCCGGCCTCCCAGTCCTCTTGTATTGAATTGTATTTTCTCCCTTTAGTGCAGCGCAGAGCAGACTGTCGGCTCGTCAGAAATCCTGCAGAATGAAGAGAATTGGAGGCCTCAATGCAGGGACACGATAATAGACTGTACACAGCGAGGACGGGGGGCAGGGAGAGGACGGGGGAGGCAGGGAGGGAGAGGACGGGGGAGGCAGGGAGAGGACGGGGGGGGGCAGGAGAGGACAGGGGGGGGGGGGGGCAGGGAGAGGACGGGGGAGGCAAGGAGGGGACGGGGGGCAGGAGGGGCGGGGGAGGCAGGGAGGGCGGGGGGGGGCAGGGAGAGGAGGGGACGGGGGGAGGCAGGGAGAGGACGGGGGAGGCAGGGAGAGGGCGGGGGAGGCAGGGAGAGGCGGGGGGGGGGCAGGGAGAGGACGGGGGGGGGGGGGGCAGGGAGACGGGGGACAGGGGGGGGGGCATCATATCACGACTCGACTACTGCAACTCCCTCCTCACTGGCCTGCCTCGCCGCTGGCTATGTCAAACCCCCCGCTTCAGTCCATCCTGAATACGGCTGCCAGACTCATTCACCTTTCCAAACGCTCCGTTTCCGCCACCCAGGGAGAGAAGGGGGAGCCAATCCCTCCACTGGCCTGGTCCCCGCTCAGTGTCCTCCACCCCCCTCTGCCAATCCCTCCACTGTCCTCCACCCCCCTCTGCCAAATCCCTCCACTGGCTTCTGATTGCGCAACGGATCAAATTTAAAATCCTAACACTGACGTACAAAGCTGTCCACCATACTGCCCCGAACTACATCACTGACCTAATATCCAAGTACCACCCAACACGCACACACTCCGCTCCTCACAAGACCTCCTTCTCTCTAGTTCCCTGGTCTCCCTCCTCCCCACTCCCCCCGCCTCCAGGACTTCTCCAGGGTGTCACCCATCCTCTGGAACTCCCTGCCCCAACCCATCAAGATTATCACCTACTCTCCTCTCCTTTAGGCGCACCCTGACGAAAAAAACTCATCTCTTTAGGGAAGCCTACCCCACCCCCACTGCTAACTTGCCGACCTCCTCCACTCTTCCTACCACTCCACCCCCCACAGCTATCTCCTCCTGTGCCACCATCCCCCCCCTCCTAGATTGTAAGCTCGAGGAAGGAGCAGGGGCCCTCGATCCCCCTCATGTATTACATTGTATTGGTATTGTTCTGTCACATGTTTCTGTCCCCTCTGTAATGTACAGCGCTGAGCCAACTATTGGTGCTTTATAAATACTGTATAATAATAATATACATACATGTACAGAGCAGGGACAGGGGGTGTTGGGGCCACACAGTACATGGATATAACCCCCCCCAAGAAATGTCCATCTCCCAAAGTGGAGGGCTCCCCGCTTCTCAGGACTCCTCTCCTCACATTCCCCTCAGGGCTCCATTCCCCCCTCCCCTCAGGGCCCCCTCCCTCTCCCCTCCCTTCTTCAGGGCTCCTCTCCTCTCATCCCCCTCAGGGCTCCTCTCCTCTCACCCCCCTTCCTCAGGGCTCCTCTCCTCTCACCCCCCCCCCTCCCAGCTCCTCTCCTCACATTCCCCTCAGGGCTCCTCTCTTCACTCATTCCCCCCCCCTCTCAGGGCTCCTCTCCTCACATTCCCCCCTCCTCAGGGCTCCTCTCCTCACATCCCCTTCCCCCCTCCCCAGGGCTCCTCTCCTCACATTCCCCCTTCCCTCAGGGCTCCTCTCCTCACATTCCCCCCCTCCTCTCCTCTCCTCACTTCCCCCCTCAGGGCTCCCTCCCCTCACATTCCCCCTTCCTCAGGACTCCTCTCCTCACATTCCCCCTTCCTCAGGGCTCCTCTCCTCACATTCCCCCTCAGGGCTCCTCTCACCCCCCCCCCCCTTCCTCAGGGCTCCTCTCCTCACATTCCCCTCAGGGCTCCTCTCCTCTCACCCCCCCTTCCTCAGGGCCTCTCTCCCCCCACCCCCCCCCCCCCCCCCTTCCTCAGGGCTCCTCTCCTCACTCACCCCCCTCCCTTCCTCCCCTCCTCTCCTCACCCCCCCCCCTCAGGGCCTCTCCTCCCCCCCCCCCCCCTCCCATTCCCAGCTCCTCTCCTCACCCCCCCCTCAGGGCTCCTCTCACCCCACCTTCCTCAGGCTCCTCCCTCTCCTCTCACCCCCCTCCCTTCCTCAGGGCTCCTCTCCTCATCCCCCCCCCCCCTCAGGGCTCCTCTCTCCCCCCCCCCCCCTTCCTCAGGGCTCCTCTCCTCTCATCCCCCCCCCTTCCTCAGGGCTCCTCTCCTCTCATCCCCCCCTTCCTCAGGGCTCCTCTCTCTCATCCCCCCTCTCTCCCCCCCTTCCTCAGGGCTCCTCTCCTCTCATCCCCCCCTTCCTCAGGGCTCCTCTCCTCTCATCCCCCCCCTTCCTCAGGGCTCCTCTCCTCACCCCCCCCTCTTTCTCCTCTCCCACCCCCCCCCCCCCTTCCTCAGAGCTCCTCTCCTCACATTCCCCTCAGGGCTCCCTCCTCTCACCCCCCCTTCCTCAGGGCTCCTCTCCTCTCACCCCCCCCTTCCTCAGGGCTCCTCTCTCCTTCTCCCCCCCCCCCTTCCTCATCTCCTCTCACCCCCCCCCCCCCTTCCTCAGGGCTCCTCCCTCCTCTCATCCCCCCCTTCCCGGGCTCCTCTCCTCTCATCCCCCCCTTCCTCAGGGGCTCCTCTCCTCTCATCCCCCCCCCTCCCTCAGGGCTCCTCACTCCCCCCCCTCAGGGCTCCTCTCCTCACATTCCCCTCAGGGCTCCACTCTCCTCTCCCCCCCCCCCCCCTTCCTCAGAGCTCCTCTCCTCACCCCCTCAGGGCTCCTCTCCTCTCCCCCCACCTTCCTCAGGGCTTCCTCTCCTCTCTTCCCCCCCTTCCTCAGGGCTCCTCTCCTCTCCCCCCCCCCCCCTTCCTCAGGGCTCCTCTCATCCCCCCTTCCTCAGGGCTCCTCTCCTCTCATCCCCCCCTTCTCAGGGCTCCTCTCCTCTCATCCCCCCCCTTCCTCAGGGCTCCTCCTCATCCCCCCTTCCTCAGGGCTCCTCCTCACATCCCCCCTTCCTCAGGGCTCCTCCTCACTCCATCATCCCCCCCCCTCCTTCCTCAGAGCTCCTCTCCTCCATCCATTCCCCTCAGGGCTCCTCTCCTCTCACCCCCCCCCCCTTCCTCAGGGCTCCTCTCCTCACTTCCCCCCCCCCTTCCTCAGGGCTCCTCTCCTCTCCCCCCCCCCCCCCTTCCTCAGGGCTCCTCTCCTCTCATCCCCCCCTTCCTCAGGGGCTCCTCTCCTCTCATCCCCCCCTTCCTCAGGGCTCCTCTCCTCTCATCCCCCCCTTCCTCAGGGCTCCTCTCCTCACATCCCCCCTTCCTCAGGGCTCCTCTCCCCACATTTTCTCAGGTATTCTGCACTCCGGGAAGCAGAGAAATGTCACTCACATGGACGCCGCCATATTGACGCAACGTCACCGGAAACATTGCCCGGAGACGTCTCTGGGACGTCACACATCCAGGGAGACCCTAACCCTGAGGTATCAGCAATGTCACCGCTTTGGATGAGAACATCCACCGATAAGAGGGCGCTGACCGTCTCACCCGGCAGTGTCTTCCCAGCTGAACAATTCTGCAGTGTACCACAACCTAGATGGCGCCGCTAGCCTCATAGTGAGGGCAGGAAGTCATCCAATTAACTGCGACGAAGCCAACTCTATGGCCAATGAGATGGAAGCAGCAGGAAGGAGATCCTAGTAGGGAGGAGCTTTGTCAGCTGGTTGCCCAACGACGAGTGAGGCGGCACTGTTCTGCTCCTATAGGGAGTAATCTGTTCGGTGATGTCCAATAGTAGAGCAGGCAGGTGGT